GGCGAAAAGGAGACGTTCTTCCCAGCGAGCGATACGTGTACGTGCATTATACACACACGTGTACGAGCCAGGGCGGCTTTCTCCGTTTCATCCTGCGTGGGTAATCTTGCCGACGTGTTCTACCCCCCCCTCCCCCTCCTAACGTATACCTCCATCTTTAGAGCAGCTACTCTCGAGGGACAACGACGACAACGCGATCTCGACTTCTTTTCTCTCTTTTGCCTCGGGATACGGTGGATGGAAGAAAAGAGAGAGAGAGGAGAGCGGCATTGTTAATTGTTTGATCGACAAGATTACGGGCGCGTCTTACATGTCCCGCGTCTCCTTAAAGGCCTCCTTTTCGCCTCGTGTACGCATTTATATGTATATGTATATACATCCCCACCCTTTCCCTGTCTTTTCTTCTCTCCTGCACCTCTCGTAGGTACTTACCATACACACATACGTATACGAGCGACTCGGAATTTCTTAGCTCTTATAATGCACGCGGCGGTTCTCTGCGGTGGCGGCGACTCTTTTTTCTCCCCCCCCCCCCGCACCACCCCGCCACCCTCAACGCACAGGTGACATTATTGAAGGACAATCCCTTTGGGGGCCCCCTTTAACGCCGCGTCCCGTGTTTATATATATATACATATATACCTACCTGCACCACCCGGCAATGAGGCGAGCGGTCCTTCTCGCTGCTCCTCTGATTTTAATGATTTGCTTTTTCCCTTCGGATAATATAATGGTAGGCGGACTCGGTGGAATCTCTTTATGTACGTACGTACACCAACATTTTATTTTTTTCTCTTCCTTCCTTTTTTTTCCCTCCTTTAAATTAAATGCCCAGAGTACTTTTGTCCGTGAGTTTATGCAAAAGTTACTCAAAGTTTGCCATTCGAAAGTAAGTTGAATAATAATTGTGTCCCAGAGTACGGATGAATAAATCGTCGTGAAAAACAGAGGGGGAATAAAAAAAAAAAACAACCCTTCCGAACTACAAAGGATCCCGGGACGCGCTGGTGGTCCATCTTGTGCCGAGGCGACGTGGTTAAAAAATCCAAGCAACGATTAAAGCAACGCTCAAGGCTGGTGTGCACTGCGTATGTGCATGGTGAAAGTAAGGGAGAGTATAGCTGATGCGCGGTAAATCATGAGTCGGGCCCCCGGGAAAAATGAAGGAACTTTTCCCCGGTGATGGTCACCTTGTCCTGTTCTAATTGGCAAAAGGAGGACTCTTTGGCGCGCCTTTTATATCCAAAAGGAGTGACGAGAGGTACTCCACAGAGCTCTCATTAACATATATATACATATATATTTCGAGAGACGCGGGCAGCCTCCTCTTTCTCCCTTATCCGTCGAGTGACAGCGTTCACTCAGGGATCAGGACTCTGGGAGTCGACGCGTCGCCTGTCAATCACTTACCCCTTTCTTCCTTAGCCCCTTTTCTCCACCGCGCGTGGCTCCACTTTCCGGGGACTGTCTCCCGCCCACCCGCCTATCTCCGTCCATCTAATCGCCCTGAGTAATTGATACGGATGAAGATATCTTCTTTCCGCCGATTTCGCAAGGAGAGACCAGGGGGGGGACACTTGATGCCTGCTTGTCGCGTCAACGCTCCGTCAACCGTCCCTTTGCTCTCTCTCTTTCCCCGACAGTGTCCCATTGGCAGGGATTCACTCCGTTATGCGCGTTGTTCGCCTTTTTTTTGCCCCTATATCGAGAGTATACAGAGGAGGGACACTCGCGTGTATCCATGCAGGGAGGCTCTTTTTTTTTTTTTTTTTTTTTTGTCCTTCGATCGTCGAGTCGACAAATTTAATAACCAAGCGTCTTGGGGTTGGTTTTCCATCATCAGCTAACCGTGTAACAGCTACGCCAAAAGAGAGCGCGCTCAAAGTCTTAGCAAGCCTTTCCTGCGGGGGTTCCCGTCAAGAGAGCTGCTTTTAATTACTTGAAATTTAATTGCACCACCACCACCCCCCCATCCACACTTATTCACGGTGCCTCGGGACAGAGAGCCCGCGAAACTGTAAAGTCAGGAGAAACCAAGTTGGGGCACACCCGCGCATTTAGATTAGCCCCGGCGACTGCTGCCTCTGCGGTATTTGCGCTTTTTAATTATCATCGTCATTGCGATTGTCAGTCCTTTCGATGGAAAAAAAAAAAAATGCAAGCTCGACGAACGATGCGCCTCTCTATCGAGCCAACGCTCTTTGGGCAACGCGAAAGAACAAGTTGCGAGAGAGGGTAAAAAAGGCACACCCCACCATACAACGATACAAATTCCATTTTCGCCCCTCGCGCTTGCCCGATTCATTTTCATTTTTCACCCCCCCCCCACGCCGAGCAGCCCTTTCGCTCTCTCTCTTCCCCTAGTCTGATGGGAGCTAACTTTGCTCTAGCTTGCGCGCCCTTTCTCGTTATTTTCGTGCCCTTTTTCCCGAGGCGGGCGAAACTTTGCGCCAACTTTGCGGATCCGAGCGCGTCAGCTAGGAAGCCTCATCAGATTGGGGGCGAGGGGGGTGGGAGTTGCCCGTGGGCGCGTTGTTTCAGCCACGGCTCCGAGAGTCAAAGTGGCAACGTGTGTATACGACAACAACGCAGTACATGGGTTGTATTGTGTACGCGAGCAACACCTGAGCTCTCCCTTCAGTAACCGAGTCGGGTTTGGACGGGGCGACCGAGGAAAGTGGCGTCGGAAGTAACGAGAGCCAGCAACTTGTCAGCCCCCGGCTCGTCATGCTGATAAATTTCGCCTCGCTCCTCGCGACAAAAGATTTAATCACTGCGGAAGATAACGCGGGCACCAGAGGCACCGCTGTCACAATTAAATGTTGCCGATTGTTGACAGTGCGGGCGTATATATATATATATATATGTTTACCTTTTGATTACCGTAATCGGTGCGGTGTCCCATGTTTGCCTTGACGGAAAAGATGTTCAATCAATGCCTGTCCTTGTCAACCAGAAATAAAAAAAGTAAAAAGGTGGGCCTGCCTTTAATTTATGCACCTCTTCATCGTTATTTTTACGCGAGGGAGTAAATCAAGCGAAAAAGAAGAGGCTCGCGGATAAAAATTGCACATCTTTTATTTATTTATTTTTTTTTTTTTCTTATATACAGTTGATTTTTTCCATCGACCGGCAAACTTTGACGGTAACCGTAATAACAAGTTTCGAGTATAGCCTGCAAGGGTGCGAGCGATAAAGTACACGGGGGAGGTAGGGAGTAAAAAAAAAAAAAAAAAAAAAAAAATTCTCATTAAGAGCGAGCACGAAAGAGAACGTGGGCTAGTAGGTACGACGAGATCGCGAGGAAAGTTTAAAAACACGAGAATCGTCAGGTAATCGCAGACAGAGGAGCGCCGCTCGATTCTCCCCTGATGTAATATGGGTGGTGCCCCGCAGTCCCCGCGTCAACGGCCTACCACCACCGACGCCAAGCCAACTCCATCCCTCGCTCGTCGTCCCTCCCTGCAGGTGCATTGTACACGAAAATAACACCTCAGTGCGCTCTGGCACGCAATCATTACGTGCTGCGTGCATGTGTGGCAGCGCAATGGTTTTTATACGTATATGTTCTCGTGCGAGTGCACCGACCCCTGCTCGCGTTGCGCCATTATGGTAGTTGTAATGCGTATAGGTGTGTGGGTTGCTCGACGAGTCTGCGGACTTTATTCGATAATCGCTTCTTACCAGTGCAATTTAGCACTTGATAGCAAATTTTTTTTTTTTTTTTTTTTTGTTTACTTCTCTTTATTCACAACATTGAAAGAGCGGAGTCTTGTATCTTATCGCGGGGATTTTGGACGGGAAAATTAAACGACTCACCAATGATGCAACTCTCGCTCTGCTTTCTTCTTATAGCTACTCTATAAATGATGAAAGAGTCGCATAGGCTGTCACCTTTTAGTTGGGAACTGTAGTTCTGGTGCTACGCAGGCTCGTGGAGATCATTACTTTCGGGTTTGTGGTATAGTGTATAGTGAAAAATAAGCGAATAAGGTACTTAAATACCGACACTCTAATTTTAACATTATTTATAAACACTGTATAAATACATTTTAATTAAAATCTGGCATCTGATTATCGTTCATCTACTGGTACCAATAATTTTTTTTTTATTGATTTATCACATCTATAATTTTTACAACGTAGCTTTGTTTCGAATATAAAAAGGCAGAGACATCGAGTTGAAGTATAATAATTGTTTTGATTAGTTTGCACGGCAATGACAAACTGTAATAATACGCGTCTTGACTTGTGAATCGACAAACGGTTCTTTCAGTGCAGAAGTGCTGTGTACACTCAAGGAAAAACTCTTCGGATATTAAAGCGTTGTAAAAAAATTAAACATACTTAATTTGTGCTAAATGAAAATTTCGATCTATATGTTTGGTGGATACGGTAAAAAAAAAAATCATTTGTAAAAAATCATGATTTGCAAGGAAAAAAAAAATTATTTACTCCGTCGAATTTTTAGTTATTGACTGTCAACAAGTTTCTCAGTAATTTACTCGAAATTAGGAAAGTCGTTTGGCATTCAAACGATAAAGTTGAACTCGAGTTTACTCTTTACATCATAGTTATACCTACAATATAGCATTTAAAAATATTACTGTAGATAATAGTTATCATGTCTTATTAACAAAACAATTTATTTTAATTATTTGCCAACGAGAACACCTCGCCTATTGAAGAGTTAATATTAGAATTGTTGTTATTGCCAAACATTGTAAAAGTACTAGTATAAACAACTCAATATTTGTTATAAACAACTATATAACGACGAAGATAAAGGTGTTTTCACTGACCTAATTAACTGAGAGCTAATGTAAATTATGATAATCTTGTTGATAAAAGCATGAACTGGTATAAATTCTTCAGTTCACTTGGGACACATTATTCAAGTACAAGTGGCTGCGCAAAAGACGTTTGCATGAAATACTTATACGAGGTTAAAAACGTGAGCGACACTTTACTTCGCGAGTGCAGGTGAAGAATCCGAAATTATGATAACACGAAGCCTACTGACGTTACTCCTGTACGGATTATCACTGTGCACCGGAGCTAGGATTTTGGCAATTTTTCCATTTGAGCTGAAAAGCCATCGAGGAGTTCTGGAGCCCATTATCGAGGAACTAGCTGTCAAGGGACATCACGTCGACGTCATCAGCACCTTCAAGTTGAGCAAAAACTTGCCCAACTACACCAACATACTTACACTCCCAACTTCGAAAGAGCCACCAAAGATACTCTACTCGGATAATTACACTCCTTACGACGACTATGTGTGGCTAGTTAAAGTAAACAACAGAGTGTGTAATTTACTCGGACATCCGGTCATATCGGAATTGATAAAGAATCCACCCAAAAATCCACCCTACGACCTTTTGATTGTTCACGTAAGTACCGTATATGGAATAAATAAACTAAAACTAGAAAAGTTTGTTTGTATTAAAAATTATTAAATATTACCGATATATTTATTAGATACAAAAGAAAAAGGATTAATATGACATCCTACACGTAATGATAAACAGTAATTTCGAATCCGTTTTGATTTATTTGAATAATCATTATATTTCGTGAACTTTTAAGCCGTTAACTAGAGTGACAATGTTTTAATTAAGCCTATTTATGTCCATACATACGACATAAAAAAAAAATATATATAAATATGTAAAAATTTCGAGGAAAATAAAACTGGATATACTTCGTATAATTGATTCTGATGGACTGTCAGAAAGATTGAAGTATAGAGAATAATCAATTAAATATAAATTTTTTGTTGCCCAATTACAATTAGCGTCTATAAAAAATAATTTTTACAACAACGTAATGATTTACGCACCTACAGATACTCTCTGGTTATCAGTGCATGTCAGCGATAGGAGTAGCACTGGACATTCCGGTAGTTGGGGTCATGACTACTTTACCCTATCCCCAAATGGAGCACTATTTGCACAATCCATTGCACTTGGCTGGAATGTCCAGACACTGCCGCTCATTCGAGGAAAACTTTGGCTTTTGGGGCAGGCTGTACAACGTCGTCATGACCAATTACTACATAACTCACCATTACAAACACGCAGACGCGCAAGACCATTACATAAAAAAGTACCTTGGACCCAACATGCCGAGCTACCGGGAGATAGAAAAGAGTTACTCCTTGATCTTCAGCAACTCGCATTATTTGTACCACGGGGTCAAGCCCAAGGTGCCGGGTCTCATCGAAATCGGAGGGATAAACGTTATGAACGACACCTCGCCTATGGACCCAGTAAGAACACTTTCCAAATTAATTAATACAATACTCGATTAGCACGTAACCCCACGTACAATGATCAACAGAAATTGAAAAAAGTACTCGACGAAAGCAAGGACGGATTCATTTACTTCTCTTTCGGCTCTGTCGTGGTGGTGGAGTCTCTCCCTCACGAGATTGTGGACAAGTTTTACTCGACCATTCGTAAGGTAGCGCCCATCAGAGTCATACTAAAGTCGTCGAACCCAGAAACTCTGCCGAAAAACCTTCCAAAGAACGTTTTTACGTTCCCGTGGCTGCCGCAGCAAAAAGTATTGCGTTAGTACTCTATGTTGATCTCCATTGTCTCCTCGAAATCGTTTGGTAAAAAAAAGAAAGAATATTTCTAAAATTGAATATTATTTTCAGAACATCCGAATATCAAAGCTTTTGTGGCCCACGGAGGGGCTTTGGGAACACTAGAAGCCATATATTACAGAGTGCCCATGATTTGCGTGCCATTTTTTGCGGAACAATACGTCAATTGTGATATTTCGAAACATAGAAATATATCGTTGAAGCTAGACATCAAAACAGCGGTGCAGAAAGACTACGATTACGTTTTCAGCCAAATACTGACGAATCCATTTTACAAGTAAGTTAAACATTTTCGCGTTTAACAATCAAAAAGGTTATTTTTCGTTACTTACATGATTGATTTTGATACTTACGTTAGTCGGTAAATTTTGATGTAAAGCCCCCGGAGTAAGCGCTGCGATGATTCAATTGAATCAACACATTATTCTTGTTTGAAAGATAATGCGCGGTGTTGTGCAAGCCTGCAATAAAAATTATTCACTGCATCAACACAATGAGATAACAACAATAAATAGTCATTTTTACTTTTTTTTTTTTTTTCCAGGCAATCGATAAATAAATTTTCCGCTTTGTATTGGGATCGGCCCCAGTCGCCGCGGGAAGCAGTGACGTACTGGGTTGAATTCGTACTTCGTCACGGCAAAGATGTGCTGAGAACACAAGGCCTCGCCTTGAATTGGTGGCAGCTCGAACTTTTAGATGTTTACGTATTTTTGATTACGTGCGCACTGACAACAGTATTAATTGTATGTTTAATCGCTCGGAAAATACTTCGGCTCTTCCTGCAAGTGCGCAGTATGAGCAGCATTGTGAAATCGAGCAAGAAGTTAATGTAAGATAAGGCCTTTGCACAAGATTATTTTTACGTTTTTTTTTAGTTTGTATATTTTGTCACTAAAACAGCCACATGTGTTATATTTTACTCATTTTATTTATTTATTTTTTTTTTTTTGCGATGAAATACTTGTTCATTTATAATCAGTATAAAAAAAAAAAAAAGTACGTAGGAAAAAACCAACTTTTTGTTTCTTCAGTAAATTATCCCTATAAATGGTGAACGTTTAAAATTTGTCCTGATAAACTTGTTGAACCAGTGTAAATATTATGTACATAGCAATAAACTATACAGACATATTACAAAGATAAGAAATGCAAGTTTGAAATATTACGTAAGCTTACGTAAGAAAAAAAAAAAAAAAAAAAAAAAAAGTATTCCTGGGCACAAAAATAAAAGACTTACATGAGGAATGTCTTGATACACCATGTTACCTTTTGATTCCACGATATCTTCATGGGGATACGAAAAAAAGTTGCAATTCCGCAAATTTCCAAAAGCCCAACGATTCAACATTAGAAAAGCGCAATGCAGAGGAAGAGAAATTCTCTCGAAGCCTATGAATTTGATAAGCAGCCCGAGACAACACGGAGCCAAGTCAAGCATACATACGCAGTAGGGAGGAAGACAGGCAGATAGGGAAGGAGAGATCCAGTCGGTGGTACGCACTTAACTATGCGCTCGGAGGCCCAAGCAGAAGAAGAGCAACCAAGACGCTCGTACAGCCTTTCCGCCCCCCCCCCCACACCCCTGCCCCAGTGTTGCACGTACCATCCACACACCCATACACGTAAGACGTACATTCACGGGGGAGTAGGTCTGACTATGCAAGGCACGCGATGCCGCCTCCGCTGGCCCGTAAATTTTCCCCGAAATGAGAGTGTCACCGCCGCCTCTTTCCTCCTCCTCCTCCAGCAGTGGGTAGAGCGACCCCCCGAGCCTCATCCCTTATTCGTCTCTTGGCTGCATCTCTACCCTCTCGAGCGTGTACACGTGTTTCGCGCTTGATTCTTCCGAGGCGCTCGGATATGTATATATACCTATTTTTTCCCTTTTTCTTCCCCCCTCTTTTATTCTCACAGACGCCGTGCGATCCCCATGAATTTGCACGGAGCGTGGTCCGAATTTCTTCGCTTTCACGTTCCCTGCAGCAAAAGCCGCTCCACCCGTTTGTTTTGCCCAAAAGGTGCAAGGAAAATGTCTCCACGTCTCGGTGGATCTGCATTTTTCCGCCACTTGCCGGGAACTACCCTCCCCCCTCCCCAACCCCCCCCGGCGTACTCTTCCTCTTGAAAATGTTTTTCCCCTTTCTTTCCCACTCTTTCCTCTACCACGATATCAAAAGTAACGTATGGATTTAATTGCATTCGCGTGGAGCCAGAGTCTCGTCTCTCATCGGAGCTCGACAATAAAGATCGGAGGCACGGAGGGAGCGAGCAGAAAAGAAGAATCAGGACCGTGGGACGCGTCGTCTCCGCAGCCATGCAAATGCTCCTCCCTCCCTCTTTCTTGTTCGCTACGCGAAGGAACGAACGTCTCGCCGATTTACATACGCAACTCTCCCCCGGGCGCTCCTCTTTCGCGGCGTCACGGCTCCCCCATCCATTCTGCATTCATCGACGCATTCTCCCGTCGTTTCCACGGGCCCCCTTCGTCCCGCCCTTCCTTTTCTTCGTTTCCGCGCGCACAGAAGCGGACTACTCGCGTCGCGGTACCCGCCGCTGACGAATTTATTGCATCTCCGCGAGCCTCCGACCCGGAGATTTAACTCGCGCCGCGAGAGGACCCTCTGTGTCCCCGTCCTGTCCGTCGCTCGCGCGTGTCTTTTGGCTCCTCTCTCTCGTGACACAATGGGCCCACGGGGGGGGGGACAGAAATCGATACAACCGAGAGTTAAGAGAAGCGGGACGAATAATCAAGTAATTGATGTTGGCTCGGGGCTCTTAGCCACCGCGGGAAAAAATGACGGCGAGCCTTTTTTCCCTTGGGGTTTCAGTTGACGCTGTGTGACGTTTTCTCCCTGTACCAATCGTTTCCGAATTGCGCCGTGGTGGTGGATTTTTTTTTTTTTTTTGTGACTTTGAAACAAAACTCGGAGCGAAGGAAAAAAAAAATAATCTAGGATTCTCGTCAGTTTTTCACGCTTTCGGCACTCCTGTACGCATGTGTGTATGCGCACACGCGCGCCCGACTTGTATCTCCCGCCTCTACAATTTCGGATGGCAATTCCGTATTCTCGGCACTGTGCGGGGAGCAAACAAGTTATCCGAAGCTATTTCCCTAACTCTTGCCTCTCGGAGGAGCCATGGATCACTCGCCAACCCCCCCGTCTCATCCGACGCGTGATGCTGCCGGACTTGGTGTTGGGTGTAGAGAGAAAAAAAAAAAAAAAAAAAAAAAAAACCCAAGAAAACTCGCGTCACGTTCGCGCGAAACAGGCGCCCTGTAAAATAAATCCCTTTTGTGATTGTGTACTCTGTTGCGCTGTCGTTCGATCATATGAACACTCGAGGTGGTTCCAAGGTTATAAAGAATTACTAAAATTACTGTAATTTCATGGTTTGCTATCGACATAATAGTTTTGCTAATCGTGCACGACCATGTATATCATACAAGCCTTGTTTTCTCAAGAGACGATGTTTTCGCAGGAGGGAAACAGAGTTTTGTTGTCCTTTGCGCGTAAGCTCCGAGTTTTTGGTAGTTATTTGTTTGTTTGACAGGGACAGTCCACAGTTTTTCAAAGTAATACTCTCGGTATTACAAGTCCTACATTATTGATTGGAACCTTGAAAACGATATTGATCGTACGGACCAGTAGATAGTGTCAAATGTGGTAAGACACAATCATTTCAAGATGAAAAACATTAAGCCACAAAATTGTTATAGTTTGTATGGAAAATAAACATTGAATAAAACAAAAACTACTCTACCGTAGACTTCTTCGATCATTGATATCGTACTAATGTTTGGTGGGTAGCTGATTGATCCATTTGAGAGGCAAAGTGACCGATTTAAATTAATCTTCGTCTCTTCACGCAACACGCGTATACGTAGCTTGGGTTTAAGGAATATATGAATCATTTTGATTCTGGGAGCACGTTGTCCTCGCATCTAGAACAAATATTTCACGCCTAATATATTTCCACACGAGAAATTTTTCCCTCGAAATAGAGGTCAGAGATTTGTCAAAGCAAAGATTCTTTTTACTTTTTCCTTCTCCACAATACGTTGAAATATTTCACCTCGGTATAAACAATTTTTTTAAATCGGAGTATCTCACAAAGATTCCACTTACTCGTGAGTGTGGAATAACTCATGAACATCACGATCACCGGGAGCAGTCCCAAAAAAATGAAACAAGGCCCAAATCGCAAATCAGTTCGCGAAAAAATTCATCCCGAAAATAAAAGAGATTTAAAGACGTGCTCTTGTCAAAGCGGAGAGCAGAGGTACACCAGAAGCTCAGAAAAATGAAAAGATGAAAGGAAAAAATGAATGAAAAGGAAGAGCCTTAGGTGTAGGTGGAATAAGAAAGTTGGGCGCGCGAGAGGAAGAGATAGAGAAACCGATGAGGACAGCTGTGGCATGCGGACCACGTTTCCGTCTTATCGTTATTTATCGTTTCCCGTTTTACTAGGCCCAGGCGCGATTGCTCGCTCGTTTCCTTGTACACACACACACACACATGCACGATCCTGCCAAAGGAGATGCACGGGAGAGTAGTAGTGGCGGTATCAGGTGTCTCTGCAAGGTATATATGTGAATCGACGAGGGAAACCATATTGCTACCAAGTCCCCAACTAGGTCTCTTTTTTTTTCCCTCTATTTCTTTCAGTGTACGCGTTTTGCCTTGTACTCGATTCGGTCGCGTCGCACCTTGGCGTTAATAATGCAGTCAGTGGCACACGCCGTATCTGGGACAAATTTCATTCAACGAGGTAAACGAGCAAGTACACTTTTTTCTCATTATACTGGACATTTTATCTTTTTTTTTAAACCAATAAATTGTAGAATGTGTTGATTTTGCAATCATACGTTTCATTAAAATTTTGATTTGGTAAAACAACTTTTCTAATGATCAAACAACACGGGTGTTTTAGTTTAGATGTATCTGCCAGCAGATGAAGTATTGTTAATTAAACGACACCACAAACATATTGACTTTATTCTAAACCATTGCTCTTTTTCACGTTCCGTTATTTCATGAAATATTGAAAACAAATGTGGTGGATGAAAAAAATAACCAGTCAAGAATTTTTCGGTCAACACGGTGGTGAGGCACCGAAAGTGGAAAAACGCGGAAGATGTATACACACTTTAACGCAGCAGAACCCATAACTCAGATCCTTCCCTAAATCATGGTTTTGCTTCAGCCTCGAGGAACCACTGCTGGATATTTCAATTTCCTTGAAACGCAATCTGATGGCTTCCCTCTCTCCTTCCCATTTCGGGAAAAGGAAAGAGGATGAAACGAAAAGTACAATGGAACGAGTAAAAAGCACTACAGAGAAATTACTTTTGACTTGACACGAATGTTTGAAATATTTATTTTTGTTCATCTCGATGATGAAAACATTTCTACAGTAGGTATACACTACGCGCGTTGACACAGTTTAACTAACTTACTCGACATCGTTAATTTAAATAAAACTTTTCCAATAATTTTTTTTCCATTCGTACGAATAAGTACAGCATTACAATACGCGTGCACACAATATGTCGCTAAAGTAATTACTTGTTAAATATATATTGTATGAAAGCACTCGCTGTATTTGTTAGATAAAAAAAAAAAATAAAACACCAGCAGTACGCGTGACGTTGTTTAAGAGGCTCGAGAGGTGTGGGGGTACAATGAACAGCAGGGGAAAAAAAGGGAAGCAGAGAAGGAAGAGAAAAACTTTTCATCCTCGTTTTTCCGCTGGTCTGCGAGGCAGATGAGGAAGGGGAGGAAGGGGCGGTGAGAAGAAAAGGGAAAAAGGTGCCATTAGCGCAGTCTTGATTACTTTTTCTCTCTCTCCTTTCTCGTCTGCCCTGTCTAAATAAATAAATTATCGAGATCGTTGTACGGCGATCTTGAGTAGTGCCAGCCAGAGGCGGACAA